ACCACCCCTAGATCTCTTTCTTTATCAGAATTCTTTAAAGATTTCTCACATAATATATAGATTGTGTGGGGTCTATGTTCTCCTATTCCACATTCCATAACATGGCATTTATTAACATTAAATTCCATTTGCCAAGTGGTGCTCCATATACTTATTTTGTCCAGGTCTTCTTGAAGGGCATGACAATCATCTAAGTTTCTTATCTTTCCTATTATCTTAGCATCATCAGCAAACATGTTCATATAATTCTGTATACCAACTGGTAGATCATTTATGTAGACAATAAACATCACTGGTACAAGAACTGAGCCCTGTGGTACTCCATTTGTGACATTTCTCCAGTCCGATACATTGCCTCTGATTACTGCCCTCATTTTTCTATCAGTCAGAAAATTTTTCATCCATGTTAGAAGCTTACCTGTCACCCCTCCAATATTTTCTAGTTTCCAGAACATCCTCTTATGTGGAACTCTGTCGAAAGCCTTTTTTAGGTCCAGATAGATGCAGTCAACCCAACCATCTCTTTCCTGTAAAATCTCTGTGGCTCTGTACTCCAACGCTTGCTATGTGTATGTGTTTACATCGACCAGACTGGTAAATCTCTTTCCTCACATTTAAAACAACATTCATATGCTATTCATACAGCCCAGCACTCCAGAGTATTATATTTACATTCCAGTTTATGTGATCATTCTATCGACATCAGAGGGGCAAAATACATTGTTAAAAGTAAGGTGTTTCATTGAACGAAATGTGATCGAGTCCGCTCTGATCAAACAATGTAACAACAGCCTTAATGTATGGCCTGGCATGTACAAATTAGATTCCCATATAGGCTTCAATATAGCACATCAATACAATATAGCATCCAGTTAATCTGTGTTTGTTTATTTATTTCCATCCAGCAGCACTTATATACTGTATATTATCCAGTGCTTTTGTTTTATACAGCTATCCTAATTTTCCCCTTTCCTTCACCCTTTTTGTCCCCCTTTTATCAGTTGGTTTCATCCCTTATCTTGGTGGTCAGGTGACCTGCCCTAGTGGGTATAAGGTCTACCTACCATGTTTCCTTCTTCATTCTATTTTGCACTGATGAAGGCAAATTGAACCAAAAATGCATTTAGCATTCTCTGTTTCACATGTGGTTTTTCCGCATACTTGGATCAGTGTTTTTGTGATCGTTGTTGCGCGCGCGCGTGCGTGCGTGCGTGTGTGTGTGTGTGTGTGTGTGTGTGTGTGTGTGTGTGTGTGTGTACTCACCTAATTGTGCTTGCAGGGGTTGAGCTCTGGCTCTTTGGTCCCGCCTCTCAACCATCAATCAACAGGTGTAGAGGTTCCTGAGCCTATTGGGCTCTATCATATCTACACTTGAAACTGTGTATGAAGTCAGCCTCCACCACATCACTTCCTAATGCATTCCATTTCTCAACCACTCTGACACTAAAAAAGTTCTTTCTATGTGACTCATTTGGGAGGCTTTAGTGAGGTTTAATTCCCGTAGCCTCTCCTCGTAGCTCATACCTCTCAGCTCAGGTACTAGTCTGGTGGCAAACCTTTGAACCTTTTCCAGTTTGGTCTTATCCTTGACTAGATATGGACTCCATGCTGGGGCGGCATCCTCCAGGATTAGCCTGACATGTGTGGTATACAAAGTTCTGAATGATTCTTTACACAAGTTTCTGAATGCCATTCTTATGTTGGCCAGCCTGGCCAGTGTGTGTGTGTATTATACACATATATATACACACACACACACTGTATAGAAATAAGTGTACCTACCTACAATATCTATTACTTGTGTAAAGTTTACAAATGTTTATTATTCTAAAATTAGTCAACTCTCATCTAAGTACAGTATATGGTTGTCTTTTATGTATATTATTGATAAAAATACCACATCTCCGTTTAGAGTACCTACATCATTCTATAGAGAGTGTGCACGTAACGTCACGCTATGCTGACATCGCCATACTGCCGGTCAGCTCATGCCGACCTGCAGACGATGATCCAGTTTTCTCCCAAGCATATCCTAAAAAAATAATAATACCTGATACTTGTTGTGCTATGGGATGTCACAATAGATGTGATGAATTATAATATTTAATATTTTCAACGGATATATAGGCTGAAATACTGGTATTTACAGTCAAATTATGGCTCTCTGCTGGTGCCCATTAACTTCCCCTAATGCCAATTCCATGTATATAACAATGTCTGATAACTGGATCGAGGAATGTCATAGCAGACAATGGATCATGTTTGCCATCTTATCGAGCCAAATAAACTACGGAAGCGCTCCAAGGAACAAGCTGGCATACAGAAGAATATGCTGTACTCTTCAATATAGCCAGACATTTCTAGTATGATTTTAAGTGATTTCTTAGATACTGGCCAGATTTTAAAACATATGTGTGTAATATACATGTGATGGATTATTTAGCTAATCTGTTCAGATGCTGCATACTGTATGTGATTACAGTAACATATCATAGCGTAACCTAAACCAACTTTTAGATCGTTCATTAATACTTGCTATACTGAATGTCTAAAGGTCATAAAGCAACTTTGGCCTGTAGCATGATCCCATAAATTCATCCTTGTCAATCTTTGTATTACAATTTTTGTTCAATGATAAAAAACACCAAAACTCCTGTAAAAATTTGTTTCACAGGAAAACAGCGACCAATTGATTAGGCTATATCTGAATTAGATGATAGGTTTATAATAAACTAAGAAGGTTAGCTTGGTAAGATTAGTTAGGTAAAATTAAGCACTGTTGGACTAGGTTAAACTTGGTTTGGCTAGGTTAGGAAAGGATATATTTAGTTAGGATAGGTTAGATGGGTTAAAGAGGTCAAGATAGGTTATTCTTCATTCATAAGGTTAAAGGTTTGCCTTAATTAGGTTCTGTTAATTTTGTTTTCAGCTAGCTTCAGTCTTCATATATTGTACCCAACTTTTACAAACCAACTTAGCATAGTGCTAATTTGCCATTCAACGAGAAAGACTGATATTACAAAAGTTCAAGTGTTCAAGTGTAAAACAGAAAAAAAAGTCCTGCTGGATTCTGCAGCTTCTTGGCAACTTTTCTTAATATGATCTACTCCAAAATATTAAATTATAATCTAAAATAAGCCTTTTGGCTCATATTATAATCCAAAATAAACCTCTGTGACCTGTGTACCTAGGTTTGCTTTATAGTTCTGTTCAACAGTAAATATTTGCAATGCCAATATGAAAACATAGCAAGATCATCCATAATTTACAAAGTTGCTCGGAAATATTGCATAACCCTGTTTTAATTGCCCAAAAATATTCTAAATGCTGGAAAGACAATTTTTTTTGTTTATGTGGAAGTTGAGTTTAAGGGTAAAGTAAGGGGGGTCACGTTTGTAAGAAAATACTGTACTCCAAATCCCCCATTAATCAATTTTATCACATTTTTTTCTGCATACAGTATATACAATATTGTATACTGGTATTCCGAATTTATTTTCTAATTAATTTCATCAACAGGGTATTTGTATATATACACAATGTGTCTCAAATAGGCATGTACAGAATTGTATATAACAAGCACGAAAAGGAAGTGTGAAATAGTCAGCAACATCAATTTTTTGTGGACTAGGCCCCTAGCAAGAACTGAGATGATGCCTCTTCATATTGCAAAGGCCAAAATTAAGTTCTCTTATGAGTCTACTCATTCACGAGCTCTGGAGTCATTATTGCAGATCAAGTGAGATTGTAAGATACATTTCACCCCAACTAGCCAGACTGTGAACAGCTGGGTTCACATTCTGAGCCAGTGAGGATACTGTAGTCAAACTGTGATAAGAACTAGTTGAAAATGGATTCAAAACTGAACATCGATTCGAACTTGAAAGCACTAGCTCAGTTATCACAGCTCAGCACAATAACCACTTTTACTTACAACAGATACATCAGCACTTATGCAATTACTATTGCAAGATTTCAGAATATCTCACAGCATCCAATCCTTGATAATTCACACAATTTGCTGAAAATCTATAAAGTCAGTATGGCACGCAATGATCATTTTGCCTTTCATGCAAAAAGATATCAATAAAAAACACAAGCACTTGGTGACGCAAGTGCACACTCTCTTATGAATGCTGATGAATCTTCAGCAGCAATATGGTTGTTAACATTTCTTATATACATTATATTGATTGTGTGCCTTCAGTCTGCCAGTCAGTGAAATTTCCTATGAAGAAAAATGTGATGCAACTTACCCAGCATGTTATTTCATTATAAACTTTCTACTCTAAGCATTCTTCCTTTGTATAGCATTTGAGAATAAAAATATTCAGCCCATATTTTTCATTTTCCTATCTTTAACATGTACTCCCTTTCCTGTATTCCTACTGTGGTAGTGCATACAGAATCTTTCCCAAGCATTTGGGTGCTAACTGCCAAATATATTTCAAGAAAACACATAATATTTGCTTTCTTACTGTTATCGGTATGATTAATTTTTAATCCTATGGCAGGTGATACTGTTATACTCCCTTTATACCTGTTAAAGTACAAATACTGTACCTATACTTACTATCATATAAATGCATATTTTATTTCCCCTTTGTTATGACTATTTAAGTCCTTAAAATTACACTTAAAAAAGATTAAGGTGATTGTTTTAATGTCAAATTTTATCTTTAATTAAAATTATACTGTTTATTCCTATGATACAAAATAATACTTATTTACAAGAGTTCACATGATTATTGGTTTCCTTCAAATTTATCTCAAGTTGTCACAAGAAATAAGCACAAAAATTGTCTGGTCTTAGTAATGTTGGTATGATGTGCATACGAATAAAATATGGCTATCTTGCTATGTGCACATGATTATTATGACTACATATTAGTGATGTGCACATTAATATGAATACTACTTTGCTGTGATGTGCACAATGAGTATGAATGCTACCTAATTGTGATGTGCATATGATGGGTGGTGGGCAGGAGAGGACTTACCCGAAGAGGTCCTGGCTGGGTCAGGGGCCCCATAGTAGTGGGCAGCCACCTCATAGTTGTGGGGGTGGGGTGGGAGACCCCCCTCGTAGCCCGTGGGCATTACCCCTCCAACCAGCCCTGGCATACCACTCCCTGGTCCACCCCCACCCATAGGTGCTCCCCCCATCATATGAGCACCATCCACCGGCCCTGCTACTGACCCCATTGGGGAACCAGCAGAAGCCATTAATGAAGTGGGGAGAGACCCAGGGTGGTGGTGACCCATATGGGGATGGGCTAAGGAGGAAGGTGGTACAGAGTGTGGGCTGGGGAGGTGGCCGCCTGCAGCTGGTGGCAGGTGGGGAGGGGGTGCGGGTGGGTCATGGTGGTGGCCCGGGGCTGGCGGGAAGTGGTGAGCACTGCGCGGGGAGTGCACACCTAGAAAACACACCGCCCCAGGTCAGTCACCTTGCTGCAGTCGGCACACACCCATGCACGCTGTGATACCAGTGCACACACCCACTTATGCTGTGGTCAAACACGCACACACACACACTTGTGCATTCACATAACCCAGACTTGCACCACCAGTACCACACAGCCTACCATAACACAAACTAACTACGTTTTCTTAATAATAATAAACAAAAATTATAAACACATAAAAAATATTGGTGAAGTTATCATTATATTTAAATTAAAGTTCAATAGAATATATAGTTTCTGACCAAAATATAAAGTGCTTGATACCCAAATGTGCATAAATCTTTGATATTAGAAGCAGAGCAATAAAGAAATATGTTAATGAATTTACTGGTATAATCTTTTACTTTATATGTTCTTATGTATACAATAACCTGGATAAGAAAGCACATGAATCAAGCAGTGCCATTGTGTGCTACTTATATTCTCAACTCTCAAATTATTCAATAATACAACATTCTAAATGCATAATCTCAAAACAAAACACTTTATGAATAAACATTTAATGAATCCTAAGCCTTTCTATTTGTGATAACTTACATAATTCAATACCGTAGAGCAGAACACTACAGAAACTGGGGAACATCACATAAACAACATGATTGTGCAGATATCTCTTACTAAAAGGGTGCTTTTCAAAATACTTGGCCAGTAAAACCCCTGAACAATCAAGACATACCATATGGAATACCATAGACCCGTGATCTCGTATGTTCCCGGGTGCAGTCCTAACCTGGCCCCAAGATTTATATGTGGTTCCTGGCATTTGGTGCAGTTGTTGGTAGGCTTTGCTAGTGGTGGCTGGTGGTGGGTTGTCTTAGGGTAATTTCAAGCCTTGCTCACTCAGGGACAGATACAGCTGGTTTTGTACAGCAGAGGGAATAGGAATTACAGGAAAGGAAGGGTTGGCCACACTTTATAGGCTCAGTTTTGACAGGAATAAGAAGGAGAAATGAGTAACTCATACCAATAAGGAGATGTTGTTCAGATAGGTTGAGTGTTTAAGGTTCAGATAGTGAGTGTGCTTAAGAACTAACTATATTACAGTTTCAAGAAATAGAGGAAGAAGGTAAATGGTCCAGGGAAGAAAATCATTGGGATAAATACTGAACAAGGAAAAATATGAAACTAAGGTTTTAAGGCAAAGAATAAAAGCATGTATAAAAAGGCATAACAGTACCTAAGCATATATAAAAGGTATAAGATGAACGTTTCCGTTTAGCAGGGTAAATATAAATTAGATTAAAGTACAGTATAAGGAAGTGTATACAAAATAAAAGAGGAAAGCTTCAGTTCACAATATCTGTTTTTGTTTCAAAAAATGTTACAAAAGTTAAAGGCAAACTTAACTTTTCAAAATACAGAGGCAAGCCTTAGTTTATCTTTTTCTCGCAAAAGTTGAAGAAACCCTAAAAATATTATCTCCTGCTCTTTTCTAATATAGTACAATGGAATATTACTGTTCCAGGAACAACACCTTTGGCTATTCGAGATGCCTTCTTAAATTTAAATAAAAAGGCAAATTTTCATTTATTATGATACAAGGTAATGAATTTTGCTTTATATTGTGTACTAATAATAGATCATATTATGACTGCTGTCTTACATACAAAAAACCAGCGTTGAATGTAATGAAGTGCCATTTTCTGGGCGAGACCCGGAGCTCCCCGGAGCTATCCGGGCTGATACGAATGTATTAGATCCTACAACAGTCAAAGCGAATAGAGTTCTTAGGCCTACTGGAGACCACGAGCCAGAACCTGGCCCCCTCAGAAAAGCACGAGGAGCAATGACCTATAGAAACCCCCCAATTTGGTTGAAAGCATTCTATGTCTGTCATTGACTGGGTCAGGCACCCAGGAAGGTAAGTGCCCCAAAACAAACCCCCTATTCTGGTTAAAAAAAATTGCTACTGAAAGCTGAACTAGTGGACAGAACTCCCCAAATGAAAACGAGCAAATGAGCACGATGTCACCACGTGATCGGGCCGCTGTCTGCACAGCTCCCCCCCTTGAGGTTATCTTGAGGTTATCTTGAGATGATTTCGGGGCTTTAGTGTCCCCGCGGCCCGGTCCTCGACCAGGCCTCCACCCCCAGGAAGCAGCCTGTGACAGCTGACTAACACCCAGGTACCTATTTTTACTGCTAGGTAACAGGGGCATAGGGTGAAAGAAACTCTGCCCATTGTTTCTCGCCGGCGCCTGGGATCGAACCCAGGACCACAGGATCACAAGTCCAGCGTGCTGTCCGCTCGGCCGACCGGCTCCCCTCTCTAAGGGGGTGGAAGGGGAAGTCTCAGACCCCTGCGTCGGCTATCTACACCCCAGTTCTGAGGCTGGAAGTCAAAAACGCGCGAAAAATCACCAACTGGAGGGAGGGAGGGTTGCTGGGGAGCCTCCGGGTCTCACCCATAAAATGGCGTTTTATTACATTCAATGCTGGTTTTCTGGGAGAAGCCCCTTCGGCTCCCTGGAGCTACTTACCCAAAGGCAAAAACAAGAGGGACTTACCCGGGAGACAGTCGGCACTCGCTCCTCAACTCGAAGTCGAGACAACTACCTGCAACTGCCGACCCAATATGGCACAGGCCCGACTGGGACCAGGAACATTGACAAGGTAGCGAGCGGCCAGGACCCTGTTCGATCTCCAAAAACCCAGCGCCCTAATGTCAGCCCAAGACATGTTAACGAAGGCGGCAGCCAATGAAGCAATCTTACGAACGTAAGATTGCTTCATTGGTCCACAGTCTCTCCCTGGGCACAGGGAGAGACTGTGGACCAAATAACCCTCAGGATGACTTGAAAGACCAGAACCCTGAAACAGGGAAGAAGGAAAACCAGGTCAACCCAAAATGCGTCCCCGGCCATGAAGGCTGTGGTGCACAGGTAACGGCGGAGAGCCACAACCAGACACAACACATGATGTACCCCCGGCCGAACCAACCATCAACAACCCAAGGATCCCTCCGGAAACCAGCAGTCTCATTCTTCACCAGAAAAGGAGACGGCTGCATACGAACAAACCTACCACAAGGACCGAAAGAGCAGAAATCCCTGCGCTGGAGGAGAGCATAAAGCTCCCCTATCCGACCCCCAGAGGCCAATGCCAACAAGAAAAGAGCTTTGGAGAAACAATCCTGAATCAAAGGGGCCACCACAAAACAAGGGGAAGATAAAAAAAGAGAGCACCTGATCCAAGGACCAGGACAGATCAGGCAGTGCATAAGCAGACCGGAGGTGAAACAATGCCCAAGACAGCTTGCAGAATGGAGCCAAAGTAACATCAATGATGAACGCAAGCTGAAGCGGCTCCACCAGCACCACACAATACAAGACGACAGTATTCAGCATAAGATGATGGTCCTGAAACAACTACGAGAGAAAGGACAAGACCACCCAAACAGAGACCGAAGTAAGCCGGTGAAGGGACAAGAAATAACGCCAGGAAACTTCATATTGCCGCTGAGAAGAAGCACGCAGGTGGGACACCAATAACGAAGCCACCTGCTCACCATACAAGTAGCGATAGACTTGAGTCAGAAAGACCATACACAAAGACTCGAGGAGAAGATCGAACCAGCCTCGTAGCGGACCGATCTGATTTACTGAAAGGGGCGGAGTCGCGGGATGACCCCCTGGGTTCAGACACCGAACAAGCAGCGCCTGAAACCAAGGCTGGGCTGGCCACCAAGGAGCCAAGAGGACTACTCTCCCTTGTTAAGTCTCTAAGCGAGCTAGGACCTGGAGCAACAACTGAACAGGGGGGGAAAGACGTACAAGTAACCCCACCTCGACCAGTCCTGCCGCAAAGCATGGACCCAAATGGTCTCGCACTTGGGGAAGAGTGCCACGTATATCCCGAAACGCCACGACCACGCCGACACAAAGAGGTCCACTTCCAGGAGCCCGTACATTCAGGGAAGCCAACTGAATGAGTCGGCGTCGACCATCCATTCCGCGGACAGGGAAATGAACCGAGACAGGCTGTCCGCCAGAATGTTGCACACCTCCCGAACGTGAACGGCAAGGAGAGCCAAGTCCCGAGAACTCAAAGAGCCAAGGACCCCAAAGAGCCAAGGACTGCATCGAACCCTCTTGGTTCAGTCAATGAACCACTGGGGAGCAGTCGAAACCCTCCAAACCGACTCCCACACCGCCACAAACTCCCGCACGTGCTGTGAGCCCGATGGACGGACGGACCCCACCACCCCTGGTGAGCACTGGTCACAAAGCCCTAGCCAAGAGATGAAGCATCCGTGAACACATCGAGCGAGAGCTTGGGTAGGCGCCAAGGCACTGTACCCTGAAAAACCCGAAGAGGAAGCTGGTGACGCAGCAGTTGTCTCAAGGCATCCGGAGACTGAACCCAGCAATCGCAAAAGAGGTGGAAGGGACATCCTCGAAGGAACCAGAGCAGCCAATGAAGCTAAACCCCGACCCGGTGGGTAGACCATCACGGCAAGTTCAGGCTCCCGCACAACCCCTCGAGCAACTGCTGGGTGACCCAGGAGCCCTCCAGAAACAGGCGAAGGCGGGACCACAGCTAAAGGCGAGACTCCGGAGGAGAGAGACAAGGAAGCAGTCCGAGACTCCCACACATGACCCAGCCAAGACCGAACCTGAGGGGGAACCAGATGGGACTTCCTCCAGTTCACCAGGAACCCGAACCCGCGAGCTGGAAAAGAACCAAATCCTTGGCGACTAGACAAGTGGACTGGCTTGGAGCCCACACCAACCAGTCATCAAGGAAGGCCAGAACCCGAACCCCTAAGAGACGCAGATGGGCCACCATGACCCAGGTAAGGCGTGTGAACATGTGAGGTGCCAGATTCAAGCCAAATAGAAGGCAACGAAAGTAGTAACCCTGACACCCACAAAAACCGAGCCAGTCCCTGAACCCCGGATGAATCGGAACATGCCAATGTGCGTCCTGGAGGTCCAGGGACACCATCCAAG